GATTGCTCTTACATGATCCCATTAAGGCTCCCAGCTTACTTATTCATGCAAAAAATGATTAACTTTTGCGTTAGCTCACATAATTATCTACTAGGTTCAATATAATGATTAATGAGACTAATTATATTTTAAAACCCAGTTCATGTTATAATTACAGTAAAATCCATATATAGCAAGACACTGATAAACGGCAGTGCGGAAATGATCCATTTACATGCAATGGGCTTTGTTCTTCCAGGATATCAAATATTCAGCAGATAAATGAATTTTTCTTTCCAATCTAGTTTTACAATGGCAATATTGTTCCAAAGCTCAGTCTTTCCTTAAGTGCACAACTGAACTCTATTATCTCCACAGGAAACCACGAGAGGAAGATGAGTCAAAATACAAAATTGCAATTAAATATCTACCATCAGCTCCTTGAAAATATAGCACCTGCCCTGGCTATCTGGCATGAGAACATATTTAAATAAGAATGAAAAGAAAAAGAATATAGGTACTTAAATTACATCACCTTCATTGCATAAAACATTATTGCCACAAATATAGAACCATTGCTTTTTATTCCAACTATTTGGAATCTGAGGGCTTTGGAATCATGAAAAAATCATCTACAAATCCACTGTCATTAATTTTGTTAAAACAGTAATGCAAATATCCCAACTATTAAGGGTCATTGACCAGTATTTGTCCTAGCAATATTTGCTAAACTGATAAAACTAGAAAATAAAACATTTTTTTCCTGTCCCCATTTCTTGAGCATTTTTAAAGTTTGAGAATAAATTAACCCAGTAGAAATGATGGAAATATAAAAGGTTTTATAGAATTAACAATATGATTGTGAATATGATGGACAGATTGTTTCTGTTGAATATTTTTTTCAAAATAACTGAGCAAAAGACAGGAAAGGAGAAGAAAGGAGAATGAAAAGGTGACCTCAACAAAAATGGATCTTCCTGAGAAAAAAAAACTTCCTGGGACAAAAAGCTTTCTTGAGCTGAAACTCAGATATGAGATCTATCTGAAATGCCCACTGGTTAAAACAAAGGAAAGCTTGGTGTCTTTAGCATTCTTGAAGTTTAAGATGACAAGGTATCAGCTTTTTAAGATATGCCAAGTCAGGAATCTGAGATCAATCAAGGTAGAATTAGTTTCTTCTTTTTCCTTTCTAGAACCAACTTGCTATTTCCGCTCCCTTATTGTTTTCTCCATGCCAAGTCTCTGTATTCCTTTATACATGGAACCAATTGAAAAAACAGAGATGTGTATTCTTAAAAAGCAGGGCGGGATGAAGTGATTAGCTTTGATTTTTTGTGATTTCCAGATGGCTAAACAGAAAAGTCAAGATCTTAATGGTTATTAATTCCAACTTCATTTTCTGTAATTTTGTGCCATGCCTGAAAAATAACTAAAAAGTCTGGACAACAAGAATTACTTATATCAATTACCAGCCATTTACAACTAAAAAGCAAGATTCTCAGCATCTTCTTTTAACAGATTTTTTTTGAAAAGGAGAACTAAATTACAGAAACCTTGGCAATAGGATATATTTATTTCAGTGCCCAATTTTTGCTTTTGTTAGGGTGGATCTTTCACGATCCTCTTGCTAACCAGCTATTGATAAACTGGAGACCCATTTTCTCAATAAGGGAAGAATATATAAATATTTTTCACTTGTAATTTTGCAAACTGTCATCTTCTTTCCCAAGTGCTAAAAAGTCCTTTATAGATAGAAATGACAGTAGCAGAGTTGTAGAAGAACTGACAACTTTACAGACATGTAGGAAACCTAGAGGAAAAATAATAAACCCCATTTACTGAATGTCTGGCGGTGCTTACATACTGTAGGTATGTTGTATAGCAGGGGTCCTCAAACTTTTTAAACCGGGGGCCAATTCACGGTCCTTCAGACTGTTCAGCTGGGTAGTCATGGCTAGGTGATCATGTGACTGGGTGGGCGTGGCAAATTTAGCAGTCCAAACAATACTGTCCTGCCCCAGCTACGGACCCCAAAGAAAGCAGCACACACAAAGTCCGTACAAACATTAGTTTACTAACTAAGGACTACTAATGAGCTTTCTTAGTAGTTGTTCGAACACAAGTACAATTGAAATCAGTCTTTTCTGAACAAGGGCTGTTAATTTAACTTCTTTAACAGCAGACAAGAATCCAAAGAATAATAACTCAATTCTGAGGCACAGTATTTCAGATAATTGTAATCTTACTGTGGTTGGCAGAATGCCCAGAAGCAATTTGCAGGAAAACTGACAAGAGAGAAACAAGAGCTAAATCAAACGTTTCTGGAATCAAGACACGAATGAATATGAACGAAGTTGTTTCCTGCAAATTGCATCAGTCGTTGTCCTTCCTTAAATAGGCTAGGAGAGTGGCCAATTAGCCCCAAGCCTTATTCTTGAGGAGACCTCCTCCTGAGGAGCCACTCCTCCTTTTAACAGCTCTGCACGCTCGTGCATCAAGAAGAGGCTTCTCCTCTTCTTCCTCTTCACTTATGGGAGCTTCTGGAGGTTCTGAAGGCCCTGGCTGAATCCCCACCTCTGGCACCACAAATTCTCCAGCCTCCTCATTTTTTGACTTGAGCGCCAGCTGCACAGGCTGCTGGCGCAGCACCACACCAGCCTCCTCGTTGTCAGAATCAGCTACTAACTGCACAGGTCGCTGACGGGCCACAACAAATACACACAAATTAAACTCCTGGAAATTAAACTTGAGGGTGGAAAGCAGGTTAGTGAAGGAATGTGGCTGCCTTGGGGTATGTATGAGGAACGTGTGTGTGTGTGTGTGTGTGTGTGTGTATGTGTGTGTGTGTGTGTTCCTCTCTCTCTCTCTGGAGGCCGGGGAGGAAAAAAACACTGGCCAGTTTTTTGGCCTCCAGAGGCCTCTGCGCATCCCATTTTTGGCCTCCCTAGCCTCCAGAAGGGGGGCCAGCAGGTAGGCAGGGTGATATGGATGGGACAGCCTCGTGCTGCATAGGCCGGATTAATGGCTTCGGTGGGCCATATCCAGCCCGCAGGCCATAGTTTGAGGACCCGTTTTATAGCCATCACTAGAGCAGAAAAAAAACCACAGTTTATGAAGAAGGCTCCTCCCACAATATCATCACATAATTATCTCTGAGGCAGGAAAGCAAGGTGTCCTGTTGAACAGATAGTCTTCAACTTAAGACAGTTGTGCGTTAACAGTTTAATCACTGTTCAAAGTTGTAGTAGCCTTGGAAAGAGTGCTTTACACTTTGAAAAGCACTTTTGGCCATCATAAAACATTGTGCAGCGCCCCACAACCAGTTACATGACCAGATTTTGGATGCTCTACAATCTGTACATTTCGGTTACTGCATTTCTGATTAATTGTGTCTACAAAGGACGAAGTGGTATGATGGACTATAATGAAGCAACAGTTTAATAGGAAGGAGCAAGCATATTCCATGGAGGAGACAAGACAAGAGACAACACAGCCTGAACCCGGATGAGAGACAGAGGAAAAGACTTAGGATAGTCACTCTCTAGAATTTCCCAGAGTATATCCGTTACATAGGATATGTTTAATCTGACAAGATTCTGTCTATATATGGTGTGAGCAACTAAAGAACTGAACTTTGGCTGGATTGTTCTATGCCAGTGATGGCTAACCTTTTTGCTGTTGCGTGACAAAAGCGGGGGGAGCGTGGTGAGGTTGCCCATGTGTGTGCCCACACCCATAATTCAATGCGCCCCACCCCTGCACATGTGCCCCCCCCTTTTAGCACATGATGGCACAGTGGGCCAGGTAGGCCCATTTTTCACCCTCCCCAGGCTCCAGAGGCTTTCTAGGAGCCTGGGGAGGACGAAAACAGCCTTCCCCACTCCCCCGGAGGCCCTCCAGAGGCTGGAAACAGCCCATTTCCCAACTTCTGGTAGGACCAAAAGGCCCAAAAATCAGCTGGCCAGCGCACACATGTGCGCTGGAGCTGAGCTACAGCAATGCTCGCGTGCCAACTGATATGGCTCCGTGTGCCACCTGTGGCACCCGTGCCATAGTTTCGCCATCACGGTTCTATGCTGTCCTTGGCTTGGCCCTGATAGTACCCCAATTAAAGCATTCCATCTCCATGGATGGAAAGGAACTGACAGCTTTTTTCAGCCAGCCTCTATAGATGAGAGGGAGTCAAACTCCAAGCAAATAGCAGAATGGTAGCACAATAAATTAAGTATGAGATGCCTCAAGTGAATGGAGGAGGCTCTGGGAAGCTCAGCACAGCTTGCACACAAGTCTGCCTTCCTCAGGACTAAAATTCCTAGATTTTGACAAGGAAAATTTTCAGCTCCTGAGCAAAGCTTCCCAAGATAAATATAGATATAGATATATATCAAAGCAGAGGTTGCTTCTCTCCTTGATTAGTTTCCATCCATTGCTTCTTGTCCTGTCAAGGAAGGAAAAGTACTATATAGGAAAAGTACTATATACTGTACTGTGTCTCCAGAAGACAGGACAAGGATTACCTGTATTCAGTATTTTTCTTATGTTCAGAAGCACAACTTCTAACAAGGGCTACTGTTGAATTCAAATCTCTGATGGTATACAGATTAGGTCAAGACAGGGGTGAAATGCTCCCGGTTTGGACCAGTAGCGATGGCGGCCAGTGGTTCAGAGAACTGGTAGTGATGGCAGCCAGTGGTTTGGAGAACCAGTAACGATGGCAGCCAGTGGTTCAGAGAACTGGTAATAAAGGCGGCCAGTGGTTCAGAGAATTGGTAGCGATGGTGGCCAGTGGTTCAGAGAACTGGTAATAAAGGCGGCCAGTGGTTCAGAGAATCGGTAGAGATGGCGGCCAGTGGTTAGAGAACTGGTAATAAAGGCGCCCAGTGGTTCGGAGAACCAGTAACGATGGCGGCCAGTGGTTCAGAGAACTGGTAATAAAGGCGGCCAGTGGTTCAGAGAACTGGTAACAATGGCAGCCAGTGGTTCAGAGAACTGGTAATAAAGGCGCCCAGTGGTTCAGAGAATCGGTAGTGATGGCGGCCAGTGGTTCAGAGAACTGGTAATAAAGGCGGCCAGTGGTTCAGAGAATCGGTAGCGATGGCGGCCAGTGGTTCACAGAACCGGTAGTGATGCCGGCCAGTGGTTCGCAGAATCGGTAGTGATGGCAGCCAGTGGTTTGGGGAACCGGTAGTGATGGTGGCCAGTGGTTCGGAGAACCGCTAGTGATGGCGGTGTGAGGCTCCACCTACCCACCCAGTCGTTATTTTAACCAGGAAGTAACCTGTTTTTATCCTCTGCGCATGCGCAGAAGGATTTATGCATGCACAGAGGGTCTGCGTGGCATGTGCATTTCTGAACCGGTTGGGGAGGTAAGTAGATTTCACCCCTGGGTCAAGAGCTCCCAACTTGGAGGGATCAGATGATGGATATCTTTAGGAATTTGGAACCATGTTGTGTATGCAAAGTGGCAGCTAGAGGGCCTTATCCATTTGCAAAAGGATTTTTATTCATTCACAGAAGCTCCTTGGGCAAAATCAGTTACAACACATAAATATGGCAACAGCAAACCAAATTGTTATTAAACATAGTTAAGCTGCATGGGGTAAAAAAATATATATGTTGACTCAGAAACATGGAAGAAAAACAATTAAAGACTGGAATACAGACACAATATAGCAATATTTGATTGGTATATATTGCAGCAGATAGAAATTCTGCATTAGTGTGACTTTTTCTGAGTAGAAAAGTAACCTATCCATATTGAAGTGTTGTAACTGCATGTGGGACTGAGCTCCTACAAAATAGATATTTAAAGTTATGTCTCGTGTGAAGGCTGTCATTTTTAATGAGAGCAGCTTAATACTAGGCAATATGTATTGATTAATGTTTTCTATAACCTGATTAGATTTAGATTGCTCCAGTGTTATCTACATTTTAAATTTTGTGTCAGCTGAACTCACTACCTACAAACACTTTAGTTAAATCATTTAATGGTAATTTGTACTAAAGTCAAAACATATGTAATCTGTCGTAAAAACTTTTCAAGAAGCTGACAATTATCCCAGAATAATTATCTACAAGGGAGTGTAGATAATTATACTGTTAGGAGGATGATATATTACATTATCATTTAAACTGTCATTATTTGCAGGAATATAAAGAATGACACCTTGCTTTCTCCCCCCACAACTTCTTCAGTGCTATGTTGCGGGTGATGACACAACAGCAGTCATTCCAGTCTCTGCTAAAAAAAAAAAAAAGAAAAGAAACATACTTTAGCTATCTGGAGAATTAAATTATTCCTTCCATTTTGTAAGGATTTATGGGTTTAAATATATAAGCTTACACAATGACATTGTACACCTCCTACACATCTCCATATCATTAACCCATGAGGGACAACCATGTTTTCTGGAAAGTATATCACCTTCATTCCTACATAGTCATGCACCGTGCATGAATGATACAAAATAATATGAATTTTTAAAAATTCATTTTGATAGTTTTAAATTCTAGGGTTTACACAGATCCAAAATCAACAAGAATCAACAATAAGACTGAAGAAACAAGGGCTGCAAAAAAGGACAGTGGGCTGTGGCTCTAAGACCATAATTTGCCACTGCAGTTGCCATATACACGATGTATATCATCATCCAGTCAAGAACAAAAGTTGTATTCCTAAGCAGAAAGAATAGACAAATAAGCACAAAAAGCAGAAACATGCACACAGTTGCAACACATTGCTTGATGTGGCAGTCGTAAGCTTTAAAAGTGGAAAAAGGACATGTAACCATTAGGGCCACGATGGCGAACCTATGGCACGCGTGCCAGAAGTGGCATACAAAGCCATCTCTCCAGGTACACCAGCCATCACCTGTTGCTCTTCTGGGTTCCGGTGCGCACATGCGTGCCGGCCAGCTGGTGTTCACATGTGCATGCACACCAGAAACCAGAAGACCAGGTGACAGGTGCACATGCACATGCCAGAAACTGGAAGCTCAGCTTCCAGGCATGCACATGTGCGCTGGGGAACTGCTCTTTTGATTTCTGGCACTCCCCCGTGTGCGCACCCTCCCGTTTTGGCACTTGGTACCAAAAAGGTTCACCAACACTGCTTTAAGTTTTTAAATCTTGTATCTGCATTCTACTGGTCCATGACTGTAAAGAAAGAAATCTACCTCCAAACTGGCCAGTTTGCTCCAGCCACTCTTATACACAGATTCTGTGGATATTATTATCAATCTGAAGACTCCAAATGATACACAACCATTTTTGGTGTTTCCCAAAGATGCCTCATGCAAAGGTCTATCATCCATTCAAGAGACAATTCTTTTGGGTATAAGGGCTTAATAAATCATGTGATTTTTTTTTCACATCTACATTTTGGAAGGCCTCTTCCACTTACTGAACATTCATAATCATTAATATGCAACCCAACGGACAAATAGAATAGAATGAATTATTCAAAAAGTGTTAGAATTATTCTCGCTTATCAGTAGGACAACTGGATTGATTTACTGTCTTCAGCAGAAGTTGTTTATATAATCATTAGATTCCTCATTCAACTGTCTCCTTTCAAGCAGTTTAGGGCTGTCACATACGTTGCCTTCCCACTAAAGTTTTTGATTCCACCATTCCCTGGGCCATTAACTTTCTCCAAAATAGATAGGCTGCACAGAATCTCTTAAAGGAACAGCTAGATGTGGTCAAGTTGCATTCAAATATGAAGCAGATGTGCAAAATAAGACCAAGATTGCATCTGGCAATTTGGCATCATTTCCCACCTTTCTCCTTTCTATCCAATAAGCTTGTTGCCCCTTTTTTCCTGCATCCATCAGATTAGTCTGCTGGTCGTTTACCTGCAATTGCCTGTTTCAATAAAGATTCATCCAGCATTTTATCAGTTGATCCTCATTCTACAAGATATGCCATATCCCAGATGTTCTACATCTGTTCCTCTCTACCCCCCCTAAAGTTTGGATGAATGGGGAAGAGGAATACTAGGTGAATATTCTGGATTTTGTATGCAGAGGAGACAGTTTAAAATATCTGATTCAATAGAAGAGCTAAAGACAACAGGAGGGGCAAAGTACACATCACAATTTGTCTGCCGGTTCCCCATAAAAGTTCCCAAACTTGATATGTTGTGTGTGGGGGTGTATGTGTAGGTGCAACATGTTGAAGGAGAAGTCCTTCTCCTCAAGTCCAGGTGCTATTGGCAGCTTGCCAGTTTGGATGTGGACAAAAGTCCCCAAGTTCGGAATGGAGGGTGTGGGTCGGTGTATTTGGGTCTTGGTCTGTGTGGAACAATGACTTCCGCTTAGCCCACCTTTCGCAGCGGGGACACTGGAAAGTGATTCAAGGAAACCTTCAGAGAAGGAGTGCAGGCAAGTGGAAACTTTCGCCTCCCTTAAGCCGGCTGGGTTTAGAAACCAAAGCAGAGACCCAGGCTCACAATGAGTTGTCCCCATGGTGAGGTGGCTGGGGTGAGGTGGCGGCAGCAAATCGTCATAGATCCATTGATAACAGGATTGGACGGAACTCAGGTGGTGTGCTCTGCATGCTTTCTGTGCCTTCCTTAGTTTTTAAGATGAATTCCCATCTCTTGGAGCTTTCCAGAGGTAGAAAACATAAGCAGTTGTGTGGCAGAACACAAGCAAAAGCTATTAGAAATCCACACAAATAATTTTCCTGTGACCTATTTAAATTCACATCTTTTAAGGGCATTAACCTAGGCATCAGCATTGCCATCTTTCTTTCAACGTCTGAAATGGTGAAATAATTATACCTGAAGATTTATGTCTTTATTTTCATAATTTTAGACAGGGTAGCATTAGTGTAAAAGGCACTCTATCATTATTCACTTAGCAACATTGGAATTCAATGTGTTTTAAAGACATAGTTACCTAGAATTATTTTCAAAATTTCCCAAGATAATGTGAGAACATTATTGGAAATTAGTATGATTCCGCATGCTAATGGGAAAGATGAAATCCAATTAATGTGACCTAATTTTATATTGCAGGTAAATCATAGGCTGCACTGGATATAAATCTAAATTTCCTAATCAGCAGGATATGGAGATACAGAAATAATGGTTTGCTTTCATTCTGGTTGAGGATGAAATCTAAGAATCAAAAAGCACTAATCTGGGAAAGTGGTATTTTCTCCAAACATAACTCTCTTACACAATAAATTCAGGGATAAGGTTTAATTATTTGGCATGTACTGTATATGGAAAACTAGTTAGTTTTAGGTCTAGGAGAAAAGAGACAAAATGTTGCAAGAAAGGTTTTTTTATATATATAAATTCACTAAGTCAGTTGCATGTCACATTTGTCAAATGATGAAGGCATAGCTTATTTTATTTAATACTAGACATCATGTGCTTTGTTGAACCTAAAGAGAGAAATAGAATGACTAAGGATGAGTAAAAGAGCAGTGGGAGCAGGAGTAACTGCTTAAGACCCCTTACCTGGTGTTTTTGGTTTCATTTATCAATGTCAAAGCTGAGGTGAGAAAGTGATAATTTTCACAATGCAACATTCATATGCAGGCATTAATATTATCAGGTTAAAGATTTAAAGCCGAGAGGATGAAGTAATTTGTTTCAGTTCATCTTGTCCATTGTACCTAGCAAGGAAGATGCTTAATTTCCTGACAGTAAACTCATTTGCTTATGTTCAAACTGGAAATAAAATTGTATGAGTATAGGACCAGATCAAGGCTTAGGACATGGAGTCTTTAAGGAAAGAATTTTTCCAATTATTTGACTACAGCCTAGGATAATGGAAAACATGTCTTGAAACATACCAGAAAAAAAAAAGTATTAACAGAAAACATAAACAATGACTAAAACACTTGTAAATGCTTTTTTTTCCTTTGCTACTATATATTAATTGAACGGTACAGGGTTTCACTTACCTTTGCTACCGGTTCTGCGCATGCACATATCGTATTTGATGACGCCCGGGCGGGTGGGCGCACCCTCCTGCCGCCGCTGCTACCGGTTCATCCAAACTGGGGCAAACCAGTAGCAACCCATCACAGGGTTCCTGCAGTTATTTTTCACCAGATGTGTGGGAGAGTTTGAAGCCTGAAATAGGGCACTATCAGTGACATGAGGTTTCAGTATGTCTCTAATCAGTACAGAAGGAAAAAAAACAAAACAAACGGTATTATCTTAATTGTAACTCAACATCCCAGCAGGTAAAATTAATGAAATTAATTGAGCTAACTCATACCTATCACAGACTGGCATAATAAAGCCCACTGGGAAAACAAAAGTTATACTACAAAAGAGTTATAGTTCATGAACAAAATTAATTTGAATATTATTTCCCATTCATTCATTAGCCTATTATAGATCCCCTTTTGGGTAAATCAGTAATTCTATACATATGTCAAGTTTCTGAAAGATGCCCTAATTAATTCATGAGCCATGATCCAAACTTCAAAGGAAATATATTCATTTATTAGGAGCACCATTCCGGCAATCCTTGGATGCAGTTAGGACTGATCCTACGTAGATTTACGTTCCCCTATGACCCTGTCTCTTCCCTCCTCTCTGGCCATGTCATAAATCACATTCTCCAATTAACCCCTTTGGCTGGCTGTGAAACCTAACACCCTCCTTCTGATTGGGGTCAGAAAGAATGTATGGAATTCACTTCAGTTCTCCCTCCCTTAATTTTTCTTCATATTTTTTAAAGTGGAAAATTTAGTTTACCATATTTAATAATAGCTTTTACATGACAGGAAACATCATTTCTCCCTTATGTAAAGCATGAATTGCCAGTTTTATTTATTGTTTTAAACCCTACCTCTATTTTGGATAATTCACATAGAAATGCTCCCTCTTCCTATTTTTCCATTTTACTTTGTTTTATTTTATTTTAGATTGCAAATTTTATTTAAGATGGCAAAAGTCTCACTCATTCAATATGTTAAATATATAACAACTGCATGTCCTACATGATTAACAAATCTTGTTCTTTTATATCATCACTAATGAAATATTCTCAAAATATGCTCAAAATATTTAGATGTTTAAATGAATTATGATCCTCTAACTTTTAATTTCAGTAAAGTCCTTAACAGGTTTTTAATGCAGTTTTAAATTGAGTTATCTTAATTTATGTTTCCTTTCATATCTACAATGTAATTTCTAAATAAAAATATACTCTGCCAATAAACCTCAAAACAGAATTAATGCAATATTATTCCCGTCTACCTAGAAATGTGTAGGAATACAAGTATTGTAAAATATAAAAATATCATAGACTAGATATAAAACTAAAAACCATAAACTGATAATAAACTTCTGTAGCTTTTGGAATTGATGCATATTTTTATATTTCATTTAAAAAACTAAGAAATAGGATCATTTATCTTGATTTTTAAAATCAAGATAAAAGAAATAGAACGTTTCTTTCATAAATGTATCTTCACCTATTTTACTGTAGGTCTCCTTTTAGGTTACAGGAAGTAACTTATACTTCCTGATTTAATTCCCTGATATATTAACATTTTTATTGTTAATATCAGATAGTTGCTATTTATATTAAGAGTGTCCTTTAATTTGGGGATGATTTATATTTCTTACGCCTGTTGTCCAAGTAAATATTGGCATGAACACAGCTTACGAAGGTTTCCAATCCTATATTGTAGAGCACTGGACATTTATAAATCATTCTTACATTACTATAAACTTATAGAACTAGCTATTTTTTTCTCCAATGATTCAACAGCAGAATATGAATATAACAACATTGGTCCAAAATCCGTTCAATAAGAATGTAATGTGTATTTGTTTGCTGAAGTGTGCCCCTTCTGCACAAAAACACAAATGCCACACATTGTTCCACAGAAAATTTATTATCCTAAAAAACAATTTATTCTAGGATCCAATAAAGAAAGGAAAGAGCCTTTTGAGACAACTCCTAGTGAGTGTATGAAGTTATAAATAATTTTTATAACAATATATACATATTTTTGTAACAATATATACCAGTTTTTATTTTAATTCATAATGTTCCATGTCTCCTAGATTTTCTGGTGGTCTCCCATCCCAGACTTGGCCCAGATTCTTTTAAAAAAAATTAACCAAAGCAAATTACAATCTGTTATAAAGTAATTTTCTTTTTCTTTGGTTAAAAAAACTATACAAGTATATTGAACAAAGTGTTGCATTTTGATTATCAGACATACTTATTGTCTCCAAAAGAATTAGGCCTTTTTAAAAAATTGTCTTTACTTTCATATATGATGGAGTAAAAAGTGAATGGAATGCCTGCGGCCTTTATAGATGTTTCAAAGATTGATATAGCTAATTCAGTGTAAGGCAGAAATCAAACTCAAATGATTTTGATAACTAGAGCAGGGGCCCCCAACCTTTTGGCCAGAGAGATTTTTCCATGGACCAGAGGGGGCGTTGTTTCGTGTGCTGCCTGCATTCCACAGATGGGGCTTCGCTTGTTTGCACAGACCAGCTTCTAGCATGCCACTGATCGGTGCTGTCCACGGACTGGGGATTGGGGACCCCTGAGCTAGAGAACTGGGACAAAAGCAATATAATTAAATTTAACATAGGTATGTAGAAAATGGTTTCCTTATGGGGGAAAAAACAGATGAATCCACTTAGGATATAGAATATGGGACACCTACAATATATTGAAAAAATATCTCAGAACCATAGTTGATTACAACTATGTTTACAACTTTACAACTAAAGAGAAGTCAACTGCAACTTTAGACTATCTCAATAAAAATTCTGTCTTTAATCTTGAAAGGTAATCATTCCACTTTACTCTTCAGTCAGATTCTACCTATTATGCCCAGTGCTGGACATAAACCTCCTTTTAAGAAAGATTCAAAGGAAACAATTTAGAGAAAAGCATTGAATAAGGTTAGGGTCCTAGAAATTGGTGAACAATGACTGCAAGAACTAGGAATGTTTAGCTCTATGTTGTTTTAGGACATGAGTGGGTATCACATAGAAGCAACTGAGAATGCAGGATATAGAATGATAGAATATTTCCTTCCTTTCCTTCCTTTAATTTAAATCTAAGAGTTTAATAATAGGAGAAGTGAAAAGCTGCTCATCTTTCATTGGAAGAATCCAAACAAAAAGTTTGGGTTACTTTAATCTGGATTGCTACTCTGAGCAGGAGGTGGAATTAATAGCCTAAACAGGCATGGTGGCATAGCAATAGCAATAGCACTTAGACTTATATACCGCTTTACAGTGCTTTATAGCCCTCTCTAAGCGGTTTACAGAGTCAGCATATTGCCCCCAACAATCTGGGTCTTCATTTTACTGACCTCGGAAGGATGGAAGGCTGAGTCAACCTTGAGCCTGATGAGATTTGAACTGCCAAATTGCAGGTAGCCAGCAGGCAGCAGAAGTAGCCTGCAGTACTGCACTCTATCCACTGCACTACCGTGGCTCATACTGGTTACAATGCAGTCCTGGCTGCCCAACCTTGATTGGCTCAAGGTTGACTCCACCGAGGTTGGTAAAATGAAGACCCAGATTGTTGGGGGCAATATGCTGACATTTGTAATCTGCTCAGAGAATGCTTTACGAGTCTAAGTGCTATTGCTATTGCTAAGTAGTAGACAGGACCTTTTAATTTATGGTTTCATTTCATTCTACTTCCAGATCTTTTATTCTTCTGGGATTAATAAAGAAAACTGAAATACAAATCTCCCCCCATGGACGTTGGTCATTATATTATATGGAAACACCATGCATATATCGATATGCTCACCCAAATGGACCAGAGGTGGGTTTCAGCAGGTTCTGACCAGTTCTGGAGAACCGGTAGCAGAAATTTTGAGTAGTTCGGAGAACCGGTAAATACCACCTCTGACTGGCCCCACCCCATCTATTCTCTGCCTCCCGAATCCCAGCTGATTGGGAGGAAATGCGGATTTTGCAGTAACCTTCCCCTGGATTGGGGAGGGAATGGAGATTTTACAGTATCCTTCCCCTGCCATGCCCACCATGCCACACCCACAGAACCGGTAGTAAAAAAAATTGAAACCCACCACTGAAATGGACCCATGCATGATATATAGCATGTGAGAAGCCAGACAAAATAAAATGGCTTCTTACATAAAATGGTGTATGATTGGGAAAGCACAGACAGAATATATTTAAATGGAAGGAACCATGCAAGATAGTCCCGTCAATCCATTTACAGAAAATGACCAGACTATCACTTCAATCTTTCTTCAATTTGGCAACAAGACAGCATCTTTCTGTGAACAACCAGTTGGTGAGAAAATTAGATCTGTTCTCTTAACACCTTGCTGCCATTCTGTACTTCCACAGAGGTTACCAGCTCACTCTACCAAATGGTAAAGTCAACTCTCACTGTGACTGAAAATTAGTGAGTGGTAACAGCTTTCCTGAGTCCAAACAATCCCTTGAGTTTATATATCATACGATGGCAGGGAAATATAATTTTTTTCCAACTGTGAGAAAATTGGTTCTGTGATTTACATAATAAAAAATCCTTTAATTAATTATTATGGTGGTAATACCTGTTTGCAGTTTGATTTTCTTGTTTGTCCTTGTTCTCTTCAAATTCCTATACCAGAAATAAATTACTGTATTTTTTATACAATTATTTGCAAAAAAAAAATCCTCTTAAATATTTTTTCATCCTCAAAACAGCTTTAACGAATTGAAAATACCATACATTTTCCTGATTTTTCCTCTCTTCTGTTGATTTCAAAAACTAATTAAACTACACCTGTATTATAAGAAAATGTAAATTTCAGTGCAACCCACCACACACACCAAATCACTATGTGATTATTTCTGCCTTTTCTCAAAACCGCACATCTAACTCAGTTGTAGAAGCTGTGGAAATGCAATTTACATTTCAAAAAAATTCTTGGGTAGGATTCTCAGTTGTAACTAATTAATTGCAATAATTAAGTATGTGATAAATCATTGTTAATACTACACAATGTGGCTTCTAAAAATCAATTAAGCTACATAGAATTAGCATTATATTTTCAATCTGTTCTCCTTTCCTTGTATCCAGATTTGTGCTCCTGGTGGATTCAGCATGGTGCAGGAAACATATTAAACATACTTCTTATTTTGTCTAGCAGAAAAGGATTTTTTCTAACTTATATTCATCCATGACTAGCAAAAGAAGAATTCAAAAGGAGGGAATTAAAATATTCAAAAAATAACAAAATGATATTTCAATTAACTAGCATTCATTATTTTATAAAATATGTTAAACCATAAGCAGTTTGGTAATTAATGTTATAAAAGAGCTTTTAGATACTCATAGCCCAGAGCTGTCAAACTTGCAGTCGCAGGTCAGATGCATCATGCACTGGCCATGGCCATGCCCAGTTTAGCGAAGGGGAAAAATGTTCCAATACGTCACATGACGACACTATGACAACACGTGTTTGACACCCCTGTCATAGATAGTCCCACAACATAATAGCGATCACTCTATTTCTTTCTTAATGTTTTTTTTCTTCTCTTCAATCATGTCTGATTCCCAGAGTCTGCCTGGACAAGGCCCTTAAGTTTTCTTGATAAGGGTTTTCAGAAGTGATTTGCCATTGCTTCCTTCCTAGGGCTAAGAAAAATGCCTAGCCTGAGGTCACTCAGATGACTTTCTGTCTAAGGCAGGAATAGAACTCATTCATAGAAAGCATTCAGCCTAATGCTTTAACTACTATACCAAACTGGTTTTCAGTATGTCATACAATATGCAAAAAAGCACACCTTTTTATACTTCACCACACTTTTCTATTCTTATTATTTTCTATTCTATTCTTCCACCACTTCCACATACCACTTCATACTTTGCGTCTGTCATTTAAACTTCTCACTTAATTTTTGAAGCAAAAACTCATCAAATTCATTGTAGTTGGTAATATTTTATTGATTAGTCATTGGGTCATATCAGAATACCAAATACAAAACACAGAGCAATAAGATCCTAGTTTAAAAACAGAATAAAAGAAATAAGTAAAAGAAAATGCAAATCATATTTCTGTGTCATTCTTACAATTTACCCCAATCAGATCCACATATGCAGTTCTCAACTGCATTTTTTGTTCAAATACAAAGCTGTATCATACAGTATATAATCATTGGATTCTGACCACACATGAAATATTTTGGTCTTAATATAAGGATCCCAATATGCCATTTATTGGGTAGTCCAAGATACTGATCTCTCTCGCTCTTATACAATTAACAATTAAGTAACATTTGTTACGTCTTTCATCTCTAGTGCTCACAAATACAAGTATTTGGAAATTTGAAAGCGATATTTAGAGTGGCTTATCCATTTCAATGTGCCAGACTTACTGAGTATGGCTCTACCTCTCTTTCAATTCAATATCCAAAATCCTTTGTACAACGATCTTTTTACCTTGTTTTCCAGAGACAGTGGAATCAGAAACAAGGAGATCTCATCTCCTGATATAATTTGTCACTGGTACAAACCAAGAGGTCTGTAATTGAAATCTTGTCTGTTCTAACAGAAAAGTTTGGAAGTCTTGTCAGTTTCCATAGCATTGGTTTTGTAGCAACAATTTTATGTCCTGATTTTAGACAAAGAACAAATTGAATACATTCCCAGTTCGGCTCTAACTGCAGCAGCTGAAGTCCTTTTATTCAAGCTGAAGATACTTTTTAGATGTTGTGATTGTTTTTGTTCTAATAATGCTGTGTGTTTTAAGCCTCAGATCCCAACTCCATACAAAAACATGGGGATACCTTGGCATTATATACTGTAATAATTCGGGCTAAGGAACCTGAATATCTGTGATTTATTAATTTGAGTAGTAAATTCACATATGCCCCCGCTCTGAGTAAGCTCCTTTGATGATGAGGGAGCCAAGTGTCAGAGAAGACTACCCCTAGATAAGGAAAGGTTTTAGCTTGGCTCACCATCTAATAGCCATCTGGTTTTGATGTCATTTTCCAAAACTTGTTTACACTTTAATTTATTAATAATCAGAAAATGATTATGACAATTAGAAGCCAAGTTTTCCTAACAAGGTATGCAACCCAACTTGCTAATATGATAGAAATATATATGTATATATTATCTTTTGAAAAACAAAGTGGATGATTACCCCAAAAAAATCATTTGGAAGTCCACTACATCAAGTGAGGTCATGAAGTGATTGGCCTAGTTTTGTATTAAAATCACCAAGAAAAATAATTATGGCTCGGGTGTGCAAAGTAATTATTTCTTCCAATAAACTTTCTAAATGTACCCAGTAGTCAGACTCGCAATAAGAAAATGCATTTGGGGTAACATAAACATTTACCAATAAAATTCAAAATCTTTATATATGAATTTTATGGCCAGTGAGGCAGATTATCCCCATTATATAATTTCATACATTGCCATCACAATTCTTCTTTACTAAGAATGCATCAGCCCCGGGAGGCTCACCCTTTTTTCTTTAATTTTTGGGCAGGGTATACCAGCATTGAAAATCAGGAATTTGTATTGCATCATCCTCTCTTGCTGACCAAGTTTCTTGTTAAACTATTATCTCAAATTCAGAAAGGAATCTCATCAAATCATTGTTAGCAGACCCTTTCCAGACATCTTCATTTCAAGTTGGAGACTGGCAAACAGCTGAACTTAAGCTTCCTCATCTTCCAAAGTCCTCTGATACCTATATCTTTCCTTTAGGGAAGGAGTGTCAAACTCAGATCGTCACTATGGCATCACATGATGTATTGGGGCTTTTTTCCCCTTCGCTAAACTGGATGTGGGCATGGCCAGCACACGTCGCATCCAACCCATGGGCCGGGAGTTTGACAGCCCTGCTTTAGGGCATTTCTTTCCCTATATTTATTCTGTTCTGCCCTTGATTTTTAAAGGTGTTCCCTGTTTTATAGAAAAGTGGATGGTTGTGATTAGCAGCTCTAGAGCTTGTGCCATTCTCCTTCATTGATTGGCTCTCCCTCCCTCCAGAAATTAGCAAGAGTTGGATACAACAAAACACATATGGATAAAATACAAACCCCCTTAAAACGTTCTTAAGCTATGATGGAAAAATCAACTGGCTAAAAGTTAGAATTATCCTTTTAGATCCATGCCTGCTAGGAAGTCAGAAGATTTTGATAAACTCATTAGATTATACCTTACAATGAGTGAGTTGTGGAAGAGTATAGTGTTGCCTGTCTGTTGTACCACCTGCAAAATTAGTTTCTCCTTAGTGGATTCCTTAACTGAATTGTTTTTGACTTTTTTTTTGTACACTCCATGCAGTCCATGGTTTAGATGTAAGTGTTGAAATATATGCATTGCTATTTGGTTCCATAACTGGTTTGGAAGTATAATTTGCTATTAAAGTCTTTAATTCATCTATTTTTAAATTGGAATTCAGAAGCTGAACAAATATACAGTAGCAATGATTGTTTGAGCTGTTGAAAGGCAATTCTTAACAACCAAATACAAATTTCCATTTAAGTTATGCCTAGTGTAGACAACATTCTTCCTCTATCTACAATTAAAGCCTCATCTTTGGGGAAAACCATCATCCATTGCCCAATCTAATGGGGAATAAAACGTATTAATGGAGTTTAGAAGGAGAGGGAGACATATATGCAGTATCCTTAAGTTGGAATAAATCTTTTATCTTTGGTTGCCTAGAAGTGATTGCAGCCTTGTCTTATTTGAGTTTTCCTCTCTACTGAATCTCTGGCTTGGGTTTTCCTTTGATCTTTCTTTTCAGGTTCCTTTCTTGCTTCTGTTTTATAATTTCACATCCTAGATAAGTATTTGAAATGTGTACAACACTCTTGAAATCTTAATTCTAAATACTAAAAATAATTTAGATATGAATTCCAATGACTAAATATTATAAAAATAAAAGAGATAAGGAATTGAATAAAACAAGGATTGGAATTAAGCTAACTCTTGCTTTCATGAAATAATGTGAAGCGGGCACCCAATATTTGGGAAATTGCATATGAAACAAATATTAGAATGACTTGTTTAAAGGTCAATATCAATATTCATACTTTCATTTGTATCTAAAACTTGGCAGTCAGAGATCTAACAAAGCATTGTATGCATGATTGTACTTATTTATTTCATAGGTCTGTTTTGAACATATGGACACTTTACAATTTCTTTCAAAAGTGGTATCATGGGAAGTGCTCATATGACCATCTGAAGGGCTCCTTGAATAATAGCCCTTAAATTAGATAAATTAGTATTTTCTTGGCTTTCCTGTTCCTCCCCTTCTTCGTATATTTGTTTTTATATATTATCATCATTATTCTTTCTGTACAACCAAACCACCTTAATATGCATCTTCCATTTTATTACCCCCACCATTAAATATGTTTCATGTTTAATGTTCAAATAAGGTTTAAAGGGAAAATGTACATATGCCTATATAAATCTTGAAAATAAAATTCACCATCCCATAGTACAGGTAGTAATCATTTAGTGACTACAATTGGCACCAGCAATTCAGTCACTAAATGAAACAATTACTAAGTGAAATAGTGACTGTCTTTATGATCTTACTTCAGCTTTTCCCTGTTTTATAGACCCACAAAATCTGTGAGGATAAAGTTGATAAAAGGTAAACATAAATATAAGGATATAAAGAGGGGGATTCCTTGGGTCATTCCAACATAAATCTATAAAAGGACTTTGAATGCAAATTCAAGGGTAGAATATAGAATGATCATACACATTTATATTTATTACTTTATACTTTTATGTATTAATTTGCATGAATTTCCCCATTAAGCATTAATGTTAACCTGTAAACAGACTTGTAAAAAATTGTAAACACAAACTAATTGAATTTAGTTTCACTTGATTTGGGGAACATTATTATGCATTTATTTAAACTTTATGCACTATTTGAAAATATTTCAACCT